GTTAGCATCCTGGTGGACATGTGTGTTCCCTTTGGTTTATCTTAAGTCAAAGTCTATGGTAACATATGCACGTGGTATTGGTGTACCCCCACTTTCAAGCCTCATGCCATGTGAAAGATGAAAGCATTTTCATTTGGTCGTTAGGGACTAGGGTATGAGGCCATATCCAAATAGGGCAAAATAAGCTATTTTTTGTGTGAAAAGTTTATATGTGGCACAACCTTATAAAAGCAAGATACATTTCAAAATCCGTTGCTGTGAGAGTGGAAAAACCTCCTACTTATTATTGCATTGGATATCTTCGATCACATTATCTTGACAGTCTATTTTCAAGAATTTCAAATATTTATAGATCTACGTGCACTACTGTTTTTCTAAAAAAATATTTGACCTACTCGCACCATTTTTGGTATTAAATTTCATAAACGGGGCGAAAAATTGATCTTTAGAAGGGCTTTTGACACTATCTATAGCAATGTAGGAAAAATTGAACAAGGCTGGTCAACCGGTCTTCAGCTGATTCCGAGTAACTTGGAACCGGGCTGGTTAACCAGCTCGAGTCGGTCAAGTAAAAAAATTGTGTTTAAAATGGGCCAAAAAACCCTAAAACATAAATTCAAAAAATAAGAAAAAAATAGAGATTTTATATATATTTTGTGCCAAGACAAGAAGGGATAGAATATATATACATAGAATGATTGTAGCGGAGAAGAGGATATTGAGATGGATGAGTTACAAGACAAAAGATATAGAAATCACAATGAATCTATTCGAGATAATTTAGGTGTGGCACCAATAAGTGATAAAATGAGATAGAGTAGACTTAGGTGGGCTGGTCGTATGTGGCACCGACCAAGTACATCACTTGTTAAGAGATACGAATTCGTTTAAATGGAAGGACTGAAAATGACAATGGGTAGACCCAAAAGGACATGGTTAGAAGTAATCCGAAAAGATATGGAGAATTATAGCCTCATTGAGGATATGACCCTTAATAGAGCAGAATAAAGAACCAAGATTCATGTAGCTGACCCCAATTAATTCGAAAAAAGCTAAAATAATGATGATGATGATGGTAATATATATTTTGTTATTATATACAATTATCTTGAAATAGGGGTGGCAACGGGTCAGGTATGGGTTAAGTCTGGCTGGATCCGGATCCAAACAGTATTCAGGCCCATGTTTTGGACCCGAACCTGACCCGTTGGATCCAAAATTGGACTCATACATGTACTCACCGGGTCCCGAGTCTACATGTCAAGTCCCGGGTCTGGTCGGGTCCATTGCCACCCTATGACTATGAGCTTCTTTTGTTTTTGGCCCTTTTTTAACCATCATATACCTATATTATTGATAACAATGTCACAATCACCTGCCATTAGATTTCAAGCCGTATGATTTGTCTTTTAATAGCTAAAGATGGCTACGAGTTTTTATTGTTTACGATCTTTAATACACCCATATGAATATGACTTAAAGTAAAGTATTTTATCTCCAATGGTTTACAGGTACGGGTATGGGTAGGGTCTAGCTAGACCCGGACCCATAACTGAATAGTGTTCAGGTCCAGGTTTTGGACCCAGACCCAACCTGTCGAGTCAAAAAATTGGACCCATATATGAACCCAAGGTCGGGTCTACCCGTCGGGTCCTAGGTCTATTGCCACTCCTATCTTGAAAAAAAATAGAATTAATGAAAAATGACAATTGAAAAAACTTCTTATATAAATTCATATATGAATAAGGCTTGGGAGATATAGAACACAATTTAGAATTTGACATACATTACTTCAACGGAGGGAGTTGAAAAATGCAAATAATACTGGCGAGTAATAATAAGAGTGGCGAAGGGGCTCAAGGTACTCGTGTGTCTTACTATCAAGGTTCATTTAGACAAAAATATGAGCAATCTCTTGTGGAGTTTGCAATGCCGCAGTTGTGCCCCCTTGCTAATCAGAAATATTACCCATGGTACCCCTTTGGCCAAAGTCTCCTAGACCTGTCCAGCCTTCGTGCTCTCCCCCACCCTGGCCTGTGTTATGGCTATCGGCAACTTTAACATTTTTATCATCCTCAACAACCAGCTTACAGTACCGGCTACAACTACATCTCGCCCTTGCCAAGTATATGTTATGTCTCAATGTCTGAACTTCCTCTCGAACCAATCTCAATTAATTATCTACCTCTGTCGAGTAGTTGTTATGCCTCAATGTCTGAACTTCCTCTCGAACCAATCTCAGTTAATCATCTACCACTACATGAGGTACTGTACCATGTCGTGCCCTTTCAATCCCCCACGATTGGCTTTTGCCAATTCATTTTCCATTATCCCATTTGTTTCTTCATCTTCGTCATCTGCATACTCCTAATTGTCGGTGTCCATGTCCTCTGCTATGTCTCCTTCGTTGTGTTACAATGTTATAGATTAAAGATGCAAAACTAAAAGATAAATGAAGTGTGAGACAAATTCTCAATCTTTTCTGTTTTGATAAAAGTTTTCGAAAACAGACCAGTGAACCAGATAGGCCACTCCAACTACCGGGTCGTATTGGTGGATCGGAGAATCTACCGGATTGGCCTAACAAAATTTCAAAAAATCCCTTAAAATAGTGTTTTTTGAGTTTTGAAATAAATTGGGGGTGATGCATTACATACTCTCATTATTTTACAAAAATACGTGGATATTGAGACGTCTTTTTTATGTCTAGATCTCTGTTGACCATTGAATATTTTAGGGTTTTTTTTTTTTTCTTTTGCATTGTCTTAATTTCTTTTGAATGTTAAAAAAACCCAAAAGAAAAAATAAGATAGGTGTTGCATTGTCTTAATTTCCTTCGTTACTAAAGTTTCCTTTACACCATATAACTTTGAAACTAGCTACAAGGTATAAAATCAAAGCTATATGGTGAAAATAAGGTACGGTGTAAAAAATTAGAAATTAGGTAATTTAGAATGATATTGTAAATTTTTAAAATTACTTATGGCTTAAAATTACTATGTTGTAGATTAACTATGTTTAAACTATGGCATGAAGAAAATATAGCTAAGTTTAAATAAAATAGCTTTAATTATTAAGTTTAAATAAAATAGCTTTAATTATTAATATAGCTAAGTTTAAATAAAATTATTAACTATGGAAGTACAGTAAAGAAACTATATAAACAGCTATTATAAATGCCTCGTATATAAAATTGCTCCCAAAATGTCTCGTATGTAAAATTGCTCACAAAGTATTGTGATTCGTTGAATATGAATAACCAATTGGTATCAATTTGAATCTGTTATAGACATTTATTCACAGTGAATACATGGGAAATTTTGTCCCATATCAAATATTAGGAGTGAGAGCTTCTATAAAAGCATCACACGCCATAACTCCCGCCCTGATGACGCGTGTGCGATGAAGTCGTTGGGGTTAATTAAACCGGCAGCCTTCTTGACAATTAAAACTATAGGGGTGTGGCCCACCACCCTTATACCAAAAAAATATAAAGTCTCTCTTGTTAAAGCTCCTCAGCTTAGAACAAGCCGATTTTGCTCAGATGGGTCCGGGCATTTTTCGTCAGGAACTGGCCTGGATTCGACGATTCTTTATCCGAACTTGGTGATTCTGATTTTGATCACCAAATTTTCAAACCTTGGTTTAGATCTACTAAATTGGAGCCATAATAAGATATTTAGGTTCATTACGAACATTTGAATCAAATTTCAAAAGATTTGATTCGGAACTGAGATATAAATCACAAAAACGGCTGAACCCTAACATTCATTCCATTTTGAAGCAACAAAAAATTCATATATAAAAAAAACAAAATGACAAATGGATCTTCCAGTTTGATTTGAGAGCTGAAGCTATGGGGATAAAAAAAAAACACCTAATTTGATCGAAATCAACCTCATTATCAACCGTTTTTCTTCTTAGGAACAAATTTTCGAGCAAAATCGACCACGAATATGTATAATCAAACTTGATTATCTTCAAAGTTTGAAGATAATCAAATTCAAACTAAACAAAATTTGACACAAAAACAATATAAATCGAGGGAGAAATCATTTGTTGATTTTCAAAACTCATAGGAAAGCGCCCAAAATCGACTGCAAGTCTTTATGTAATAGACCAAATTAAAACAATGATCGTGTGATGAACGCGATTATCTTCCAAACACACAAATTTTGACAAAAAAACGATCTAAATTGAGGCTTGTCAGATTTTTTAAAAACCCGTTGAAAAAAAAAAAACATCCAAAATGAACCCATGAGGCATGATCTCCATTATTTTATTTATTTTTTCTTTTTTTAAGTTGGCTGGTTTAGACTCCAAATCGATTGGTTATGTACTGCCGATCCCGACAGGTGCCCAGTTCCGGTTTGACCTGCCAATTCCGAGTTAAACCGGCCTAATATTTGAACATTGTATCTATATTTAGAGTTGCATCTATATTTGATTATTTAAGTTTGACGTCTTGTAATTTGCATGAATTAAAAATAGGAAAAAATTTATATTGGGCCAAGGCTCTAAACAATCAAATTAGAGCCCGCCTCAAAAATTTCACAAGAAGAGGGTTTTTTTATGCTCAAATATTTTGATCATCAAGATGGATGGACATAAAAAAAAAAAAAAGATTTCAAGTTCTAGAAATTTCATAGATTTACTGCACTATTTTTTATTAAAGATAAAAATATATTTTAAAGCTGTCACACCATTTGAAGGTACATTTTACTTTGATTGTTTAGAGCCTCGGCTCTATACAAACCGCACCCTTTTGTGAGGCCTCACATGGTATGTGATAAAAGATCCACGTGCGACATCCCAATATAGGCATCTATTGAGGAAAGGATTGGGCTCTTGTCTTCCTCACCTTTTCACCTAGGAATCTAAATGCAGCGCAATGGTAGATAGAGAAGCATAAATAAATTAGAAGAAGAGGGAGAGAGATAAGAGATAAAGATAGGCAGGCATATTATATGGATTTCACATATAAGGCCAAAAGGACTAAGTGTAAGAAAAGACCCCCTTTATTCCAATCATATGCAACCAGCTGGGATACATAAAAATAAAATAAAAAACATAGAAAGTGATACAAAACCTTTTTTTTCTCTCTCTCTCTCTATCAATCCCATGTGACGTGGACTAAATTATTCGAAAAATATAAGAAAATGAAGAAATAGAAAGCAATAAAGAAAGGAGATGTTACCTCGAAAGGCCAACACTACCAAAATTTTTCCTTACACAAGAATCAAGAATGAGGCTGTACAAAGTGCCTGCCAGATGGTGCCACAATGGCCAGTAGGTCCCACCACATGACATCCCATTGGTGAGAGCTCTCTAGCCAACAACCAATAAGAACAACGCCCCCCCCCCCCTGCTGGGCTGGCATTCAAGGAAGGAAGGTATGAATTGGGAAAGGAATCAAATAACCGAGGATTTATTCAAGAATTAGAGGAAGGGAGAAGAATTATTCCACCCAACAACCTGGTCTTCTTGATCCATTGTAGAACTGTGATAGCATGGTACAAGGGGTTTCTAGAGAGATAAAACAAGAGTGAGAGAGAGAGAGAGAGACGATCAGGACCTCTTGGATGATTAAATGCAACAATGGTGATGGCATTTTGTACAAGAGGCCTTTTCTACAGAGAGGAGAGAGGAAACAACAGGAGATGATTGGGGCCTCTAGGTTTGAAACAAATGAACAAGTGTAATGCCATCCCCAGAGAGAGAAAACAAGACACATCATCACACTCACAGGGCCTCAGCATGACCACCATTAAAAGAAGACAGGGAATAGCAAACTGATGAAGAATTGGAGTATTGGGTCTCTAGCTCTTGGCAAGCCTCTGGGACTACAACCAAAGTATAGCCCACCACATTTGAACAAGCCCAGGGCCTATCTGAATTGGTAGACAGAGACACATTTGACAAACATATCGCAGTGAAAGGAGCCTCCTCGATTCCACTCAAATTTCCTGCCAACCCAATTTTCTGGCCCACCAAATTTTTCACCGTAATTCGACTAATAGCAGGAAAAGCCTCAGGATTGAAACGGTCATCCGGGTGGGCCCCACAGTTCCCATCGAACCGAAGGGCAACTTCGACATTTTCCATCTCTATGTTGGAAACAAGGACATCTCTTACGAAACCACCCCTTCCCTTTGTTGTTGCGACACTAAGGCCCTTGCGAGAGTTGAAGATGGAGAGGTGTTCAAATAAGATGTCCGAAATGCCCCCGGACATCTCGGTGCCGAGGGCTAGAGCAGAACCCATTGGGGCATGGAGAAATAGGCGGCGGGCATGGACCCCAGAAGTGGAGGCACCATAAGAAATTCCATATTCATCCCACCCGCTCTTGAGAGCAATCGCGTCATTTCCCACGCTCACGACAGAGTCCTCAATGCAAACTCCTGTGCAAGAATCTACAGAAAGAGAGAGTTTGTGAGATCGCAAAATTGTGTTCTAAATATCTGTCGAGGATCAAATTTTTTAAGAGTATTTTGATCCCGGCCTCAGTATGGCTTGGGAGATGTTACAGAGTTTCTCTCTCTGGAATGAGTAGAAGACGTTCTGTTTCGCGGGAATCACAGAAAAATGCTGAATCTGATTCCATCTATGAAACCATGGTCCATTAAAGTCATGATTATTTGATGAAAATGGATGGTGAAAGATAGAGTTGGACCTTGCAGAACAGGACCTCAACAAGAAGTCCCACTCCCGATCACCATCTATCAACATTGAGGGTCACGGATCATGGCCTCTAACATAGTCCGTTGGACTGTGGTATTTCTATCTCAGGACCTTCCATAGTCTCTTGGAGTTTAGTACTCTCTCTCTCTCTCTCGCACACACACACACACACAACCCACCCCACACCCACACCAACACCAACACCAACAACACACAAACACATAATTACAAAAGATAAGAGAAGAAAATACATACCTGGGACTATACCATCTGTATGAGAATTTGGAGCAGCTCGGACTGCAATGTTCTGAATTAGTACATTGCTGCAAAATTTGCCAATAAATATGAATACAAAACTGATACTTCCTCAATGACACTCAAATTTTTTTGGGATTCTATGGTATTTGACATACCTGCAATAAACCGGATGAATGCTCCAGGCAGGAGCGTTCAAGAATGTTAAATTCGAAATCACAACATCTTCAGAGCTTGTAATTTCAACAAGGTGAGGACGACTATAATTTAAGGAACCAGAATTGAACCAATCCCACCAAACCGAACCCTGACCATCAATAGTTCCATTGTCACCTGCGATAATCAAGAGTGCGAAATGGAAATTCATAAAGTTTTCAACAAAAGAAGAAAGTAATATGAGCATTGAGGGACAAGAGATTATAAGATTTTTCTTTTGATAATTAGAAAGTAACAAGATTAATACTAGAGAGAAGAATCATTTACCTGTTATCACGACATCCGTCAATTTCTGGCCGTTAATCAGGCTCCCATGGCTCCCACCGGGGAGCTCTAGACCTCGACCATATGAAGGTAATGGGTCAATAACTGGCCAATGAGATGAATCCTGCCAATTCAAGATGAGAGAGAATCAATATAAAGAGAATCAAATGAAAACTAATCTAATTTTCCTCTTCTTTCTTTTTCTTTAGTGGGTAAGCTGAGGTTAGCCAGGCCCCACCATTGCTTTATGTTGTTCTAGAAAGTAGAGTACAAATAATTGCAAAGAACAATCAAGATACAACCTTTTCTTGTTTTTTATTTTTTGGGTGGGTATGATGGGATTTACTGTGTCCCATAAGCTCTAACCACTAATCCAAAAGGCCAATTTCCAACAACTAAACCCTACACCTCTACCCAAATTATTGCATAGAACCACCGACAGCTGGCAAAAACAAGCAAAATGGAATTGGGTTGGTTGAATCTTTTCCAAGTGTAAAAATTATTGGGGTTTATGCAAATAAGAGGAATAATACTTCATGTGCTGATTTTGCAGGTTCCTGCTTCAAGAACTTGGACCTCTTTTACTCTGAATCATCCCTTGGATATTCACCCTCCTACCTCTCTCATCACAAAGGAGATTAGAGATAGTAAATGAACTTAAGAACCAAAAGTGTGGGAAAAAAGATATTCAGATACAAGAAAGAAATCTCCCCTACATTCAAATAAAAAAAAGAAGCAAATCTTTTAATTGAACTTTTTGATTTTCTTGATCATTTGTATCCCTCTGATTTATTAACTACGAAAGAAAAATTTAAGACAAATTGACAATCAACTTCAAACAAGGCCAAACACCGCAATGCCAGTCCCAAAAAAGAACAAAAGAAAAAACAAAAAAGCAAAGAGAAAAAGGGCAGTAATTAGGCAGCCTATATAAATTATACCCATCACAATCACCACCAGCAAGATAAGGGCCTTGATCCACTACCAAACAAACCCATACTCTAAATGAAAAATCACTTACTTCCTATAGTAAATAATTCCCAGATAGTTTAACAACATGGGCTAAACAAAAGAGGACCACAAGAGAGAGAGAGAGAGAGAGAGAGAGAGAGAGAGAGAGAGAGAGAGAGAGAGAGAAGAGACGTGTAGAACGTAAGTATAACAGA